ATACTTTCAGTTTCAACTTTCAAAGGCTTTTGTGTAATCCTGTGTTTAGTAAGATGAAATCAAACTCTAATAGGTGCTTTCCTTGTCAGACATGGCAATTGGCAAGTTTGAACTCTGACATCTTTGGAGACCACCTTTGAAATCCAGGTTTCTACTGCTCTGGTTTTGTTAACATCTGACTAAGAACGAGTTTGCCGGCGGACCACTGCCACTGGTAGACATTTGGCTTCAATGATGAAGTTTATAAATCCATTGAAAGATGGCTGAATGAGAAAAAAACTTGTTGGTGACTTCAGGTAGTTGGGAGTTAGGATTATTGTTTTGTTAAGTTGAAGTGAGTTGATGACTTAAGAAGGCAGTAAAGTTGATTGGTCTAACTATTTTAGTTGGGCCAAAGCTGTGAGCCACTGGTATACAATGGGAACTCTTATGGGGCACTTATCTTAACATTATTGTTTCTTATAGGGGAAAAAAAAGAAAACCTTGTTTATGCATTGGCCACTGACAACCTTGCATGTATCTTTACGAATGATATCTGAAGAAACATTGCATATCTACTTCCTTTTCATCTCTCTGCATTTCTTCCTTGGTTACCTAAATGTTTTTGCTTTCCATTTGCCTTTTATTTAATGCACATGAAATTGGTTCTAGTATTTTTATTACTAGAAATATTTGATCTTTTTCAGATTGCGTTTGTATGATTTGGTTGAGCTAAAGGTTCAAGGAGATGGTAACTGTCAAGTCAGTTCTTATCCTTCTTAATAATTTATTCTTTTTTTTTCCTGGTAAATTATTTTAGATGAATCATAAATATGTATGCTTCATGAATATGTCCTACTAATTGCATTGCAGTAGCCTAAACAAGAAACTTTAGCATTTCTTAGTTTGTTCGACTCAATTTCTCACCTGATTTGTGTTCCATTGAGTTGATAGTCAGATAAATCTTTGAGTGGTAGCTGATTGTGCAAGAAGTTGCAACAAGCAATCAGGCTGATTACTGTTACTCATGTGCTTGACCTGTGTTTAATCCTAAGGAATACAAGAATTTATAGCTAGCAGCTACTGCTAGTAATAGATTTAGTTGGTATCTAATGTTAGACCCCGCATAAGTTAGTGTTCCTTTCTATTATTATTATTATTATTATTATTTTGTTGGTAAGTGAGATTTTATTACCAAAGGAAAAGGATAAGGCTGAAAAGCACTGCCCCAAAGGGAAGATCAGGTTCCTTAGTTTAGCAAAGTATCTCTTACAGCCCAAGAGACTATGCTAAAACAATAAACTTCTCATAACCTGAGAGGATAGGCAAAAAGACTAAGGGCGTTTACGCTTCTTATCTTGCCACTCCATCCCTTGTCCTTGCCTTGATGATGCTACCCCTTTTACTCGAAGTACATTGCATTAATTATGCTGCACTGGTATGCCTCGTGCAGTTGGATTTTCCAAGGCTACGAAACTGCATGTTGCCAGCAAATTGGTAAAGTAGTCAAATTATTTAGTCTATTATGAGAAATAGAGTTTGTTAACCAATTTTCTCTATTGTAATGAAGTAGTTTTTTTTTTTCCCAATTTTCTCTGTTCTTTTATATTCTCTCTTTTGATATTTAGAGTTGTTGCTCTTTTATGTCCTGTGTTGTGCTCCTTTGTAGAGTTGTTTCTCATTTTATAGATTCATTTTAAGGACCATAAATATATTTTATTCAGGACATTTGAAGTTAGTATGGATGGTGCGAATAACTGTCAGTTTTCTGCTCAATTTTATTGGTCTGAAAGGAACATTTGGGTATCAGCTACAGAATGAGGATAAGTAATGCTACTGCCCAAGATTCATACACAAAAAAATATTCAGAAAATTTAATGTGTTGTTTAAATTCATTCCAGATGTGGATTTTACTATAAAAAAGTTAAATATGAACTGAACATTATTTTTTTTCTGACATGGCAATTGGCAAGTTTGAACTCTGACATCTTTGGAGACCACCTTTGAAATCCGGGTTTCTACTGCTCTAGTTTTGTTAACATCTGACTAAGAATGAGTGTGCCAGCAGACCACTGCCGCTGGTAGAGATTTGGCTTCAATGATGGAGTTTATAAATTCATTGAAAGATGGCTGAATGAGAAAAAAACTTGTTGGTGACTTCAGGTAGTTGGGAGTTAGGATTATTTTTTTGTTAAGTTGAAGTGAGTTAATGACTTAAGAAGGTAGCAAAGTTGGTTGGTCTAACTATTTTAGTGGGGCCAAAGCTGTGAGTTTTAGTTCTAGGAGATATATTGATGCGTGTTTTATGAGATAGTCAATCTTTTTCTTTTCTTTGGGAGTCACTTTGCCAAACAAAGGTCTACCAATGATGAAGGAGGCCATCACAATGGGAACTCTTTTGGGGCACTTATCTAAACATCATTGTTTCTTATAGGGGAAAAAAAAAGAAAACCTTGTTTATGCATTGGCCACTGACAACCTTGCATGCATCTTTACGAATGATATCTGGAGAAACATTGCATATCTACTTCCTTTTCATCTCTCTGCATTTCTTCCTTGGTTACCTAAATGTTTTTGCTTTCCAGTTGCCTTTTATTTAATGCACATGAAATTGGTTCTAGTTTAGTATTTTTATTACTAGAAATATTTGATCTTTTTCAGATTGCATTTGTATGATTTGGTTGAGCTAAAGGTTCAAGGAGATGGTAACTGTCAAGTCAGTTCTTATCCTTCTTAATAATTTATTCATTTTTTTCCTGGTTAAATTATTTTAGATGAATCATAAATGATGTGCTCTATTATCTGTGTAATTATGCTTTATTTTGGTGAGATATGAAAGGATTGTAATATAAATATTGCAGTAACTTGAAAGTTTGAAAATCTGTTTTGGGTTATGATGTCTTATATTGCATTTCATTTCATTTTATGTATGCTTCATGAATATGTCCTACTAATTGCATTGCAGTAGCCTAAACAAGAAACTTTAGCATTTCTCAGTTTGTTCGACTCAATTTCTCACCTGATTTGTGTTCCATTGAGTTGATAGTCAGATAAATCTTTGAGTGGTAGCTGATTGTGCAAGAAGTTGCAACAAGCAATCAGGCTGATTACTGTTACTCATGTGCTTGACCTGTGTTCAATCCTAAGGAATACAAGAATTTATAGCTAGCAGCTACTGCTAGTAATAGATTTAGTTGGTATCTAATGTTAGACCCCGCATAAGTTAGTGTTCCTTTCTATTATTATTGTTATTTTGTTGGTAAGTGAGATTTTATTACCAAAAAGTAAAAGGATAAGGCTGAAAAGCACCGCCCCAAAGGGAAGATCAGGTTCCTTAGAACGTGGCTGACAAAGAAAACTTAGTTTAGCAAAGTATCTCTTACAGACCAAGAGACAATGCTAAAACAACAAACTTCTCATAACCTGAGAGGATAGGCAAAAAGACTAAGGGCGTTTACGCTTCTTATCTTGCCACTCCATCCCGTGTCCTTGCTTTGATGATGCTACCCCTTTTACTTGAAGTACATTGCATAAATTTTCTAGGGATTTACCATGGATTTCCTTCTAGCAAGCTTAAGGTTTTTGATCTTTTAAATCAAGGTTCACCTAGTTTTCTTCCTTATAAGTGGGAGAATTCACCTTGACAATATCATCATTACCAATTAAAGGCAATAAAGAGGTAACACTACCACTTAGGGATGCTTCATGACATGATTCAAGTACGTGAAACATGTTAGAATTGCAAACTGCATCATGCCTAGCCAAGTACACTTTGCTCTTATCACCAACATCACTATTAGCACTTTTGTTTTTATCTTTCTTCCTTGAGACCCTTTCCCACTCACTAGGGTTGGTTTCCCGCACTTCCAACTTCATCCTCCATTCTTGTTTTGGGGTGGTCCTTTCTATTATGTTCTCACTGCTTTCTTGTTTTTCCAGTTCCGTGCTTTGTCAGATCAAATTTATCGTACTACTGAGCACCACCAATTTGTAAGACAACAAGTTGTTGATCAGGTTGGTATATTTGATATTCAAAAGATAGTTATGACTTTTTGTCGTGTATTTGTTCTCTTGATTCCATTACATTCCATTTGACCTAAAATTTGGATGTTTCTGTTTGCAATGCATCAATTTCTTCAGCTCAAATTGCACCCAGAATTATATGAAGTTTATGTTCCAATGGCTTATGATGACTATTTGAAGAACATTAGCAAGTATGACAGCATTCTTCACTTGATCTTTTTGGCATCTATAATCTTTATAAACTTGGTCATGTTCATATATATTTTTGATGTAAATGATTATAGGTCTGGTGAGTGGGGTGATCATGTCACATTGCAGGCTGCTGCAGATGCGGTATTAGTTGCTCTCTTTCTCTCATATGCACATTAGCATTATCTAGCCATTTGGAAAACATAGCTTAAACTGTTGTTCACAAATTTGTCTTTGCACTTTGTGTGGTCTTTCTCCTTCTCGAACAGTTCGTAGTTTTCCCTTTAATTGTATACGTGAATTAATTTTATACCTTTCAGGAAGTTATGAAACTTATTGAACTGATGCACAAGCAAGAACAAGTTGATATTTTGTTGTTGTGATCATTAATAACTAACTGAAAATCAAACAATCTGAAATTTGGCCTTGATTGTGCAAGAACAAGTTGATATTTTGTTGTTGTGATCATTAATAACTAACTGAAAATCAAACAATCTGAAATTTGGCCTTGTTGATCATGACCGCAACCTTAAGAATTTTCTTGTGAAATTATTTAATATTTCTTTATAAATTTTTTTTGTAATTTCAAGAGGTGGAGATAAATATAAGTTCACAATTTGCATTGAGCCTCATAGTAGAAGCATGGTGATTAAGGCATGTGTCTATTATCACGGGACTACAAAAAGATGGGTGTTGCATGAGTGAGCCTTAATTAAGAGAATGAAAAAAAAGAAAACCTTGTTTATGCATTGGCCACTGACAACCTTGCATGTATCTTTACGAATGATATCTGAAGAAACATTGCATATCTACTTCCTTTTCATCTCTCTGCATTTCTTCCTTGGTTACCTAAATGTTTTTGCTTTCCATTTGCCTTTTATTTAATGCACATGAAATTGGTTCTAGTATTTTTATTACTAGAAATATTTGATCTTTTTCAGATTGCGTTTGTATGATTTGGTTGAGCTAAAGGTTCAAGGAGATGGTAACTGTCTAGTCAGTTCTTATCCTTCTTAATAATTTATTCTTTTTTTTTCCTGGTAAATTATTTTAGATGAATCATAAATTATGTGCTCTATTATCTGTGTAATTATGCTTTATTTTGGTGAGATATGAAAGTATTGTAATATAAATATTGCAGTAACTTGAAAGTTTGAAAATATGTTTTGGATTATGATGTCTTATATTGCATTTTATTTTATGTATGC